ATGGTGTCTGCAACAGAATGAAACACTATTCAGGTGAAGAGTATGTACATAAGTACCAAGAAGAAAGTCTGAATGGAGATAAAAAAGTCATCAGTCACCTTTTATTTAAAAGTGGAAGGCAAAAAAAGAAAAACAACTTGGAGAAAATGAGCACTCTCTCCTGGAAATATACATCAGACCTAAGAACAAGCACCTGCCGATTAGACTTAAACTACTGGATCATCATCTATAATCTAGGTAATGATCTTCAGCAGTTCTGGACATAGGGTAAAGCCAGGCCTATTCAGGTCTCTGTCCAATTCAATAGAATTTTTAACATTTTAAATCATCTGAAATGTGAAGGGACAAGAACTCCTGAGCTCCAAGTGCTCAGTCCTGTGGCCTGCTTAGCTGGTTGTTATTGCTGTGGTGACTTGCTCCAAGGCAAGAGAAACAACTTTAGGCTGGCACAGAGCTAAGAGCAGAGGTCCTTACAGAAGAGCCAGACAATGATCCTCAAGGATACTTAAAAAGCCCTCATGGAAGTCCCTCCATGTAACTCATCTCCCATCATTCCAAAACATCCAGGTGGGCCTCCTGAATGGGCACGTGGGCTGTTGGGACTCCTTCTAGGACAAATTTTGTGCCAAGTTAAAGATACTTACGATAATGGCATTTCTACACATTGCAGCACTGCAAATAACAAACAACAGATCCCATCTTTTCCGGCTTCTATTACACAGGAGACTCACAAAGAAAGAACAACCACGACCTTTCTTAACTAGAAGCTGATTAAGTTAAAAACAAGCTTGGGAATAACGTGCAGAGCCATAATCCTGTCCTAAGTAATATCTGGAAACTGGCATTCCTTTAGTCCAAATGGTTGCAAGACYAGATGAATTACACCGGCTAGATGTGCTACCACTTTCCAGCTCTGCACTACGCATAGGCCAGCAGCAGAATTTGCCCCTTAACCATCTCTGTTAAGTACAACAAAGTTATTTGTTCCAACATACTTACAGTCAACACATGAACTCACTAGGAAGCAAGAAGAGAGGAGCCACAAGGCAAGTCAGTCAAAGCAAAGTAGCATTTTAAGAGGTCTACATCAACAAAATGTCTTTTTTTTTTTTTTTTAATGGCATGATGCTGCCTGCAATTTTGTTTCTCAGATGTAGAGAAGATGGGTGCTCATTGCTAATTTGAACATACCCTACATATATTTTCCAAGCCTTTGCCATTATTTCTGTTCAACAATCTTCACAGGAGACGCTGAAATATTCTGTTGCAATTGTTGAAGAGAAAAGAAGAAAAAACTATTTATATTTTCAAGGAAGAAAACAATGAGATGATATTGTCTTGAATGACCTTTCCTAAGTATGGGGGGATAGAGCATCTTACACAATAGACTCTTGGTTCATGTTTCAATTACTGACCTTTACAGAGGAGAAAATTAATGCAGTTTTCATCAGAATCCACCCGTACAAATAAGATCCATACGGAAGATTTCCACATGCTGAATCTAACACAAACGGAGAATGTCAACTGTTTGCTACAGGATGAATTTAACTTTGATTTGTTCAGCTGGAGTCTTTTTGAATTGTACTCGTAAGGTTGGGATATTTTTGATACCTACTTTTGACAGAGAATTTCTTATATGAGAAACGTTGCATATTTCTTCTTTGTGGATTTCCTTTTCCCTGCTTCAGCCCAAAGTTTCTTCCCTAAGCATGAGATACTTGGTTTCTTGGAAGCTGCCTACTAACTTGGCTTTCAGTCACAGTGTCACTTGATCTTACTTTGTTATAACCCACTAGGCAAGCAGTGCGACTTTGGCTTACTACTTGGTGGAAGATGTCCAAGAAAATAGGAATTGTGTTGCTTTAGTTTTGTCTCTAATTTTCCTCTGAGTCAATTTCCGGACCTGCTAACAGCAGTAACTTAGTTCTGTCTGCTTTGGAGGAAACACTAACTCTAATGTAGACAGTTTAAGATCATGAGAAGACTACAAGACTTTCTGGTGGACTGCTATGATACACTAATTCAGGAGGTATCTGTCTGCTTGAAGCTCTACAGTCTTTGAATTAAAAAAAAAAGTTAATTAAATAGAAATAGTCAACAATCAGACAAAGAACATACATTTTGACTTGCATGTAACTTGTCTATACCTTTCTGCTGGCAGGCAAAAGATGTTTCATTGAAGTAATTTTAAAACAATCCTTGTTCAGACAGCCTGACAGAGCCCAGAGCTGACAGAGCGCAGCCTGTGCTCTACATCCAAGATGGCAAGAGTCCAACACAGTGCTCCTCCCTCCCTGCACGGCTTGCACCAAAGGGACCCGGCACCCTTATCTTCTGCAATYCTCTACACTCTTCTTTGGGGAAGATAGAGGGGTAAAGAAAGGGAGAAAAAGGGGGAGTTGGCAATTAAGCCCTGTCATTTAAGATGGATCATTTAGGTGGAAGGGAGTTAATCTGCTCTTGGGCTTTTGAACTAAGCGTCCGTGTATTCGCAATTTGTAAACAGTTCATCTCTTGGAGGGTGTGTAACAATTCCCAGAAGCATGATCTGTTATGTCTAATGTGCAGCAGAATCCAGAGAAGCTATGTGTGTGAGTATTTTGATACAACACGATGATAGGAAACAGAAACAGTGACCTCGTATACCACAGCCCAACTAGCAGATTCCAACTTTAGGAGTTCTTGTATTAGGGAGGAAAAAAAAATACACAGACTTCTGTTTAAAGTATGGATGTCTGTTTAAATGTTGACATTACAATGAGATAATGTCATAAAATTACATTTTTCTTATTCTCCCTAGAGCACTTTGACCACCCTCAGACTTGGAAAAGTCACCCTGCATAACCTAATACGCTTAAAGATCTTTCTTCAGTGTGCATACATCATCCATCATAAAAGGATGTTAAGAGGGATGGACCCAGGACACCATGCAGATATTAAGGTAATAGTGCACAGGGCATGGGACACAGGGCAGTAATTGGCAATTGTCTCTCCTGGCAGCTCTGTGTCAGAATCTCACACATCATTAACTCTAAGATCCAAATTACTAGAAGTTATGAATTATGACTGCTGTAATGCTAAGACAGAAAACCATCCCASAAGTCTGCTGTAGCTGTCTACAGTGAGTTTCTTCAGCCAACTCTACAAGTTCCACATTTCTGAGTGTTTAATCCACGAAGTTAGACAGAGGCAGTGCTGATTACGGCAACAATTGCAGAGCCAAATCAATGGTAGAACAGGGACTTGCAGGAGTCTTCCCAAACCAGCACATTCAGTTACACCGATAAAGAAAATGACAGCAAAGTTGCTTGGTGGAGGTCAAAACACGCAAGGCCATGACTAGACATATTTCCGTCCAGATCCATAGTGACAGTGACTACATCCATATTTCAGTGACCTAGTTGCACATACAGAGAACTGAAGTCAGTTGTGTCTGTAGTAGACTTGATGAGAATACTTGGGCTTTGCAGCATCAAATCTGTCACAGGGCACAAGTGGCAGAGGATTAAATGTCTATTTAATACATTTTTATATTTTTTTCCACCTCAGCACTTGAAAATGAAAGAGAGGAATATTAAAAGAGAAGAAAGTGAACAAAATTGGTTTTAGAGAATAAATTGCACATTTAAGCATCACACAAATAAGATGCAAGGTCAACATTTACTGGTCTCTAACTCTGGGCACTCACAAATTAGAAATTACCAGATTTTAGAGATAGGCACTATTTCTTTGAAAATAATGAAACTGTCATTTAAGGATTCTTGCTTACTTCCAGATATTGATTTTTTTTTTTTTTTATTTCCGCTTAGTAGGTCAATATTACAATGCAAACAGTGAATAACAACACTCAAATCATTGTTGTGCTTTCCAGAAACCTGTAATTCAACTAGGTTGTCTGCAATTCATTTTATAGTTTTGATGGATTTCTGGTTGCTTATTAAAATATAACAACCACAGAAGACTAGATTAAATTTAAAGCAACTATTCCCATCAATTAGTCTGTTAAGCTTCAATTCTAATGTCTACTACTAAGCACTAAGACAGACTTGCTAACTATAGTATTGATTGACTTCTCAATGATGAAGAATTTCACTGTAACATTCTCTCAGAAGAGAGAATATTCAAGATGCTTATGAACTTAGTATGCAATCTTAAAGTTTCATATAGCCTTGTGAATGTTTTCTCCCTAACAGCTAATGTTCCTTTGCATGCTGTTGCTCCTTAAATAATTCCTCTCCTTTCAGTTCTAAAGTATTTATAGATTATCAGATCCTCCTTCACTTACTTATGTTTTTTCAAGCTGTATACATTAAGTTCTCTTAATCTTTCTTTGTATGTCATGCCCTCTAATCCTTTTATCATTTGTCACTGTAGCTTGATAAACTTGAAAAAAAAAAACCCAACAAAGCATTTTTTTCATCGTGAGAAGAATGAGTTAATGTGCTCCAATAAAACCAGAAATTTGCCAATTCCAAATCTTTCTACATTTCTGCAGACGAACTAAAACCAGTTATTCTCTGAGCTCTAAAAGGAAAGTTGAGAAAACTCTAACTAGTCTTTCACAAATCACAGCAGTCCTGGCCTCAGTAAGAAGAAACACCAAATAATTTGGAGAAGTCCACTGGTACAGTATCAAAAACTGGAAATTAAAGTGATGAGAAATTTTGTATCCTTATGCAAGTCCGTGCATCTCACCCACCTGTGCCCATGCATATATGTGCATGTGCACATACATGTGCATGTTTCTGCTACGATTTCAAGAATAAACTGTGAACTCTTCAGATTCAAATCAAGTTCACCTATTCCACCCAGGTAACTCCAGTGCTGGATGTTACGCAAACTAATCTTCTCATATATTCAATGTCACCAATCGGTCAATTGGTAACAACTRTTTTCCAAGTTAATACATAGAACAACTGTAGTTCTCACAGAATTAGGATGYAAGTTTGTGCTCTCCCATGTTCCTTCTCACTCTAGCACACTACACAAGATGTGCTTACCTTGTCATCTTCATCATCATCTTCATCCAAGCCCATGAGCTCCTGCAAAAGCAGATGTTAATATAAGAAAACATTACACAAATTCTCAGTGGCTGGCAGTGTTCAGAAAGCTTCTGAAACTCCCAGCACATTTGATTGCACAGTTTTCTCCCACTACTATTTCAAGTCATTAAAAAACCACCACTTTCACCTTTCAGAAATAACGTTCTATGTTCAAGGACTTTTTTTATTTTTTTGTGATATCCCGAACAAAGCTTGCAAGACCCTATACAAATTTTAAGTCTAAATAAAACCATTAATGTCTGTGTCCGGTAGTTTGAAGGCAACAGGCTTTCAAATTCATTGCCAACTTTTACTGTCTGTAAACAGCTTTGTTCTTCGTCTGACAAATGAACCAGCGGGTATGTCAAGGCTGAGGGTTCTGTACTGAACTTGTTCAATCCTCACAGCTACAATGACTGCTCTCTCCCTTTACGGCCCTTACTGAAACATTAGACGGTAGAAAATACATTAGCACGAACATAATCAATCTCACGAATCACATACAGATTTCTACACGGCATTATTTCCTCCTCCTAACTTCTGCACTGACAGGTAGGGGGGAAAACAAAAGAATTGGCTAAGGTTTGAAATTAGGATCCCTTGGCTTTCAGTTCAAGTGTTTTATAAGCTGAGCCTTTAACATGGTCCTCCAAGTTTTTCTTGGTTATTTACTAGGAATATTTGAATCACTGTATTACAAGTTTAAATAAAGCTAACACACAAAGAATGGGAAGAATCACAGAGTTTTTTGTTTTGTTTTGTTTTTTAAGAAAAGCAGTTGCATCAAGTACGCAGAAGGCATTGYGAGCTCAGATACCTGGATTTACTCTCTGGCTCTCAATAATACCTTGAGCAGCTGAATTAAGAGCGACTGTGGTTTACACATTTCTGTAGAAGCTCCCCTCTGTAAAACAAAACATTTTACCTATACTCACGAATTTARCCTCCCAAAATTGAATCATGCATACAAGGTTAATACTGTTATTCCTATTTTATGGCACAGAAATCTGAGAAAGAATTTGAATTCCACATTTCCGAGTGYTGTTGCTTTCATTCTTCTATATGCACAAAATATACATGCTGGCCCTCAGAAAACAAAGGCAAAAGACTGTGCCAAAAGCACTAGTATTTTGACGAAAACCTTTTCTCATCTGCAGGACAGATGCAACTAAAAGTAGCACCTGATTGTCTGTTTTTGACCTACAGATGGTCATCATCATCATCAGGTAATATTAAAGGCACTTTGACTGACTACTTGTTCCATATGATCCCAATCCTGAAAAGCACTTAGACACATGTGTAACATTTGCTTGTGTAAAATGCACCACTGATTTCCATGGCATAGCATTGCTCATGAGCTGTAACAGCAAAAGTTCCAACTTTCACATGAACTTTTCTTGCATACAGCTACCATCAGTCTGTATATTCTGATACAGGTTCTCTGCAGTCCCCACCAATATAATGTACTCGTCAGTCTTGCTGATTTGTGTCCATGTGGGACACCAGGTAATGGAATGAGCAGCGAGTTCACCACAGGAAGACTGACAGGCGTTAGGAGGTATTCACACTACCTTTTATCTAGTAAGACAGACTCACCGTTATTTTACATGGATTTAAAAAAAAAAAAAAAAAAAGAAAAAGAAAAAATTTAGCTGGGATTCTCCCACATGGGGGAGAAATTGCTTATTGGAAATAAGCATTTTTCTTGCATTTATCTTCACATCTAATCCATGTCTTGGCCTGAGTAACATGATCTTCCCTCCTTTTTAAGTAATTCTTTTACCTACAACTGAACAACTGAAAGCTGAACTATGAGAACTTCCACTGCTAAAGCAAATATAACAGCTATTGACTTTTTAAATATTAGGATATTATTTTTTCATACAAAATTCATGCRATCAGCTTGGGGAAATGTATTCTTCATGGGTACAAATTCTTTTTTTCTTTCAATAGCCAAAAAGGAGTTAAGTTTCCCTGTATTTTATTCCCACACTTGCTACGTGTTTAAAAACAGATTATTACAGTTATCCATGAATTTACTTGCTTCATTTTAACTTACATTAACAGTTTTATGCAAGTAAAGACAAGGGTCAAAGTCAGGATTAAGTTCAAACAGCATTTCATATATCCCACCAACAGCACTTTGCCACATGTTTTAGTAATTTTGTATACAAGTCTTTTCCCTCTGCTAAATCAAGTAAAGATACTGAAGGCTAAATTAAAAATAAAAGTGTTTCTCATTGATATGGTGGAGGCACGACGGGTGAAAAGGTTTCTGCCTAAAGTCTCTGATCACAGGACAAGGTTTAAAAAACCACTAACTTCTCTTTTCAGCTTCCATTGACTTTCCACTTCTGTGAATCATGAATCATCAGTGTGATGCAAAGGCCAAGAGTGGCAGGGCACTGGGTGTTGGGTCTTGTCTCTTTGGAAGTCTGTCTTAATTTAAATCCATTTCAAACATTTGCACTTATTAAATAAGTCAAATCTCCCTCCCACACATTCGTCTCCTTCCACCCCTACTGCTCTGAACAGTCTATTGCATGAATTGAATCAAAAAAATTGAGAGGGTGGAGGTTTCTTGACAGTAACTCAGAAATAAAAAAAGTGCTGTTTAGCTACACAACTAGCTTAATGCCATTAAAATTMATGATATTTTCCTCAAGGGCAAGTTCAAGTTGATTCTGCCATCAATGTTACTGCTACTTCACTTGCCTGGGCRTCTTGGGTGCTGCTGACCTTCCCAGTCTTGATGAGAGAGAAGTTGTAAGCAAAGAGCACCAGTAAAGCCAGGGGCACCATGTAAAGTTCCACGCTCCATACGGTGACTACAAATACCTGGAGAAATACAGCAACAGAAGGGCATACATATGAGTGTTTAAAGACACATACAAGGAGGCCTTTTAGTCATTATCCCACCGAACATTCATCCTTGAATCTCTGTTAACCTCATTCATATTAGTACTTTGACAAAGCAAATCTGCTTGGGAAGCATGTTCTCTCTTTTGCTTGAATGCATTAGGCTCCTATTTATTAGTTCCCCTTCCTCTGTTCCTGTGAAGTACAAGGCCATGAACATAGGGTTAGTCCAAAGGCATTATTCACTCCTTCCTAGACCCTCAAGACTCAATATCCAGGCTTGGTATTGAGTCTTAGTGCTAGCGCACAATGGGCCCACTTAAAGAGGTAAACCTGCTCCACTTTATCCACTAATTGCTAAGGAAGTTTTCACAGGTTTGAGGAGAAATTCAACCTGTCTTCCACCAGGAGCTGTTCAGGTGCCCCCTTCACCACACACGGGACTACCTGCAAGCCCGTATTGACTATTTATCCACTCATGKTCTGCTTGGTAGTACAAGAGGGACCATGCACAGAAGGGAAAGCTCAAGCTGTGCTTCGTCTTGGGAAGGGGATCCAGGAACCCCGCTCTACATTCCCATCCCTTGCTGTTTTTACAGCACAACACACTCTGATTTCACGGGTGGCTAAGGCTCACTTTGCCCATAAAGGCTGTAATCTGCAGCCTCGGGAGTGGTATCTCAMACCAAACCCACTGTTATCAAAGCACAACACAAATTTCAAAACAAGCCACTCTGCAAACTGAGTCAGCAAGRCAGGTAACACACATGACAGAGATCGTAAATGTTGTGGTTTTGTGTTTTTTTTTTCTTTCTTTTCAATAGCTTTTCAAAAAATGATACCAAGCCAAGCTGCAATCCTCTCCTACGAGTATTGACTGTATTTGAACAGTCTCCAAACTTGGAGCAGTTGGACATGCAAAGTTAATAAACTAAATCCAGAACTGCCATAAAATGCATGTTGTGATCCCATTTCCTTTTCTACTCATACATAGTGTTTCCAGAACCCCCTAAGGCTTGAAGGATGAGGCACAACACATTTACTGGCTTTTTCTTCCCCCTGCCTCAATCTCTGGAATGACCAGCAACAAAAATGCTATTTTCAGAATAATACAGGTAGGTGAAAATGAGTCARATCATTCAACTAATGCATTTCCAACTGTGAGGAAGGGCAAACCATGAGCAACCAGAAATGACTTGCTTCACACGGGACAAACAGCCAGTCATGTTGCATTTTGGAGAGTGATCCTGATTTTAAGTTAGGTATTGCTATGAAAGGAATTAGACCGTCATCCTGTTCCTGGCATATTTGGGACAGGAGAACAACCTTCAAGATCTATTAATTTATAAAATGAGCAGACAACATCATTTTCAGTGTAGAAACCTACAATTAGGCTTTTGGGTTTTTTTAATCCTACAAGTGAAATTCCTCAGAGGGAATTTCAACTGAAGCTTTTTCAGCTACATTGACTGAATCTCTACTTGCTTGATAAGATAAAGGGATATCACCTTCAATCCTAACTCAAATGTCGTTCTAAATAACAAGGTGATTGCAAAGAGCTATATAGATATCTATGTCATATATAGAGAGATAGACCAAAATAGACACCCCTCACTGTCTCCYCAACCACGTATGTATAAATTTCTATCTGATCATTATACAAAGTCCTTAATGGGAATTTGCGTTAGTAGGTGTTAATTCAACATATGTGTTTCATTCTGTTGGAGTAGGTTTAGTTTGTATCATCTCCCTGGGATATTACTGAATCCAGTCTTCTCACAACACACACACACACACACACACAGAATGAGCTCATAAGTCCTACAGAAGTCAATGAAGCTCTAGCAGAACCTCTCTCAATTCATTCAGCTTCAGAACTAGAAGCAATTTTAGTGCATTTGTCACCATCCTTTACGAACATCACGCTGCTCAGTTGGCAAGTCTAATACAACCTTGCCATCACAGGTCATTTAGGAAAGATATAAAACCATGACGCTGGTGATTTTTAGATCCAACAGTACATTTTGTGTATTGCTAAGTTCAGAGCGTGTTGATAGAACAAATAGGAATATTTTTGCATTCTAACAGCATTTTGAGTGGTTCTGCAGCATCAGCCATCAAAGCAGTTTCCATATAAGCCCACATTCTATTTTATTAAGTCTCTGTAGCCTGTGTTTGCCAAATACATCATCTAAAATGGGAAGTCATTAACAGCTTCCTACCACTTGCTCAAGAAGGCAGAGACGAGGGACAGTAACCAAAAGTCTTTACCTCAAACGATCACGTTTTAACAATACTTCACTCCCCCCCGACAATGTTTCTCATCATCATTAGACCGTTCCATTAGATATAATCCATTACATCATTGACACCTTTTCTGCTGGACTTCGTACTGGGCATGAGAAACTTTTAATAAACAGTAGATAATTTCTAAAATAAAAGTTAAACAAGCAGAAGTCTGTCTTTTTTTTTTTTTTTTTATGTTACTTTTAACGATTTGGACAGTACAAAAGCCAATTATAGAACTGAGAAATTTAATTCACAGCACTATAAAACAATGATCAAAATACAAATAGAAACCAGATAGACATGTCCAGAGAAAGAAAAAGGAGCTCTTGAAGCTAATATTTAGACTAGAGCTCTACCTAGAAGAGAACAGCAATATCAGTCTTGGAGAAAGGACCACTTGATTTCAGCTGATTAATGTGTTGCTATTTCAAAGGGTCTAATAACTACAGACTAAAGCTCTGGAGGCTTGGAAGCCGTTTCATCTGAAAATCATTGAAGAGGGGTCCAACTGTTCCTGTCAAGAAGCATGGAGTTTCAACAACCATGAGAGTGGCCCTTTTGACAGCAGTACAAAAGATGAGAGAAGGCAGTCTCAACCGAAAGTAAAAACAAACCCTTAGAAAGACGTTTCAAATCTGTTTTTTCTGCCCCTCTGGTTCCAATTTAGAATCTGACTATTAAGAACAGATTTTAGACGGGTGTCTACTCAAGTATGCCCATAAAACATTTGTCACCARCAACCCCACAGTCATGAGATGGAACCAGTTTTTAAGAGGTTTAGAAGCTTAGCATTAGATAGGGGTTTCTGTGCATTTTTTTTTTTCTAGGAAATGATTATGAATTTTTAACYGTAATTCAAAAAATGCATAAAAGTGCTGTGTAGTAAAGTTAAGAATATGAAATAAAAATGCTGTGTGTTGTGTGACAAAATAATTCTTGTGAAACAATAGTGATGGAATAGAGAGAGAGAGGCATGCATACATACATACATATATATACATATATATATCAATATCAGATGGAAAAAATAAGTGAAAGAAGATGAAATGTATGCAAGGAACCTATGTTAAAATGCAAGGTCCATGCAGGCTCCAATGATAATGAAAGGACTGATCAGTGCAGTAGTGAAAAAAAGTATTTGAAACTCAAAGTTTCAAAACCACACACAATATGACTGAAGGCCAAACACTTTTGTCAGAAATTTCCTTGCCATTTATAAACACGGTGGACGCAATACACGAAGTCGAGAGGAAARGCTTGAGTTGATACAACTGTGAACACCCAACTTATCTGTTTGGGACTAAACCAAAACCCTGGTTTTAATTTGAGACACGATGACATGCTCCTCTCCCTTCACAGAGGAAAGAGATGACGTTCTTCTAATCTCTCCCTTAACTGTGTAGTCGACTCAAATTGCAAAAGCAATCTATGAAAGAGGAGAAATTTCTGCAGCTGGATATTCAGGGGCAATCTCACATTGCTTTTAAGCTTGTCTCCCTCTGCCCCAAACAAAATCCAGGATATTAGCCAATAGCATGAGATACTGGCTCCCCAAAAGGGCATTTGAACCCCTTAGAGGCAATAAGCCTGTCGACAGCAAATTGTTTCTGACAGATACTTATTCCTGCACTTGGAAAGGGAGAGTAGAAGGGAGAATAGAGGAGTGCACACACACAGAGCAGGAAACGTGTATGTGCACATATGTGTGTGTGTAAATATTTCTGTATGTATGTATAAAGCAGAATTTCTTGCAAAGATGCGTCCCAATATCATTCTTTCCTATACTCTACTTCCCGACCCACAAAAAATATCATAGCATTTAAGTCAATAGGTGTTAGTCCCTTTTGTAATTACTATCTGCTTTAGACTCTTCAGGGGGATCTCATTTGCTTTGCTGCTGGGAAGCAGAAAGCCATTTGTGTCCGAGATGAAAACTGATTCATGTGCAAACCCAGGACACGTTAAGGAAAGCAGGTTACTCTGCAAACTCCCAGCAAAATCAGAAGAATTGACAATATTATAATGGTTCTCCACTGCCCTATCAGGACACTGTTGCCAGTAACTTAACCAGAAAAAGGTGAAATGCTGAACTTAAGACCTCCTGATTGCAAACACGTACAAAACACCCACATGCAGATCCCGAATTATTTTTAAAGTACAAAAAGGTTCAASAGATCTATTCTCAATCCATAACAATGCCCGTAATCAGAAAGAGAATTAAACAAAACAAACAAATCAAACCAACTAATAACTGTGTTATTAGGCTTTCCTTTGTTTTGATTATTCTGGTTATGTTCATGAAATTAGTCAGACCAGRAAATTAAAAAGAAGGTTCTCAGAGATCTTCGTTTGACAGGAGGTCAGGGAAGAGCCACCAAGTTCAACTTTCTTTCACTAAACTTATCACTTGTTAAKTTTATCTATACCATATATTGCAATAGAGATATTTGAAGCTTATACTGTCAAGTGACAATATCGATGACCACTTTCAATAAAAGTGATGGCAGGGGTGTCTTCTTTCTCCTTTAAGATACATATCCCTTCCTTTAAGATATATACAAACCCCAMAGTGTGATATCCCACCACACTGCCAATATGATGCCTTTACATAGAGGCTGCTACTTTCTATCTCTAAACCACAGAGGGGCAAAGTAAAAGGAAATAACAAAAGTTTGGGATCTTATATTCAT